TTTCAGTCCTTCACTTTCTATGTACTCCTTGAATTCATGCACATATTTTTCAGCCGCTTTGTGGTCCGAACTGGCAGCCTCACCATGCCTTATCACACTATGTATGCCACTACGCTTCTTAAATCTCTCAAACCAACCTTTGCTGGCCTTATATTCACTCACATCAGCACTAGTTGCAGGCATTTTTTTAATTAAATCCTCATGCAACTTCCTAGCCTTTTCGCTTATGATCGCTTGAGAGACGCTATCTCCTGCTAGCTGTTTTTCATTTATCCACACCAATAAGAGTCTCTCAACATCTTCCATCACTTGCGATCTTTGTTTCGAAAACACAGTTAAACCTTTGGCAAGAACAGCTTCCTTGATTGCCTTTCTGGTGCCCACAATAGTAGCGATGGTTGATTGGGGTTTCTTGTACAACCTGGCCAGGTCGGCGATACGCACTCCACTTTCATACTTATCAATGATCTCTTTCTTCATCTCTATTGTAATTCTCACCCTTATTGCTGTAGGGTTGGCACTAGAAGCTTTCTTGGGGCCCATGGTCACTTATTTTCCAGATAAAGCACCGAAAACACTGTAATAATACGAAATATTCCGATTGTATGCTTGGATGTTACCGCGGAGGCTGGCTGGTAAACAATGGCATGGGCGGCACATGTGAGGCTGGCTGAGGGCGCACATTGGACGCGTCTTGGACGAACAGCGGTGAGCGGGTTTTTAAGCGGTATGCGAGGCAAAATTTTAGCGATAAAATGTATCGGTATGTGGATTAAACGTTATGTGATGCCAACGGTATGCGGGGGTCCACTGTATACTGTTCTTCTCTGAGAGAAGAAAAGTCCAAGGGTGCTAACTCTCTGGCAGAATTTGAGGAAAGAAATGAGGGGCATAGATGGAGTCCCTGAGAAATACGGACCAGATGATTGTCAATTTCATTGGCAACATCTAGTTGGTTTGCTATATCAACACCGGCAACCCGCAGAACAGGAAACCGGGTCAGGAGAATATTCACCACTCAGTTTTCGTACTTTTTTCCAGACTGCACTCATAGAGGAAGCAGAGGTGACGGTGGAGACATAATCTCGCCAGCAAGTGCGTTTAGCATCACGGATGACACGGCGAGCAATCGCACGCTTCTGCTTAAAATCAAGGAGTCTCTCTGTGGTTCTATTGTACCGGTACCTGCCCCATGCAGCGTGTTTCAAACGTACTGCACGAGCACAAGCAAGCACCACCAAGGCACGCATTTCTGAGAATGCCTGCCCGAAGTTTGGGGTATAGAATGAGAAGCTGCGGTTAAAACGGAGGACGAGAAGAGGTGTAAAAGCTCATCGATGGAGGACAAAGAAGGAACCTCTCTAAAAACAGTTAGGTGTGAGTAAAGGTTCCAATTTGCCTGATCAAATTGCCAGCGTGGGATGCGAAGAGGTGGTGAATATGAAGGGGAAGTAAGAATGATTGGGAAATGATCGCTGTCATGTAAGTCCGGAAGAACAGACCAAGTGAAGTCTAATGCGGCGGAGGAAGAGCAGACTGAGAGATCGATGCAAGAGAGAGTGTGAGTCCCAGGATCAAAATGGGTATGAGTACCTGTATTTAAAACATGGAGGGGGTGGGTGGCAAGAAAAGCCTCTAACTGAATGCCACGGGAATCACAGTGAGACCCCCCCAGAGGAAATGGTGGGCATTAAAATCACCAAGTAACAGAATCGGTGGTGGTAATGACGAAACAAGAAAGGCATTATCCGGAATAGATAATGCCCGAGAAGGAGAGAGATATAAAGAACAGAGCGTATACCACCTATGCAAGTGGATACGGGCTGCTGTGTAATGCAGCGAAGTACGAACAAATAGCTGATGGTATGGAATATCAGTGCGTAGAAGAAGGGCACTTTCATTAAAGGTCCCATCAGGAAAAGGATCTGAAGAATACAATAAATTATAGCCTGAGATGGGAGAGATAACAGCAGAGTGTAATTTTGGTTCCTGTAAGCAAACACCAACAGGGGAAAACTGGGAGAGTAACATCTGAAGCTCACCCCGATTACCCGAGGCCGCGTATATTCCACTGTAAATAGGCCATGATTGGCAATGATAAAGATACCTGAAATCCGCAGGTAAGGGTTCCTACAGACTAGAGGGGTTAGAAAAGTCCACATGCGGAGGCAGTGGAAAACGTTCAAGCAGCGAAGGAACGGTGCGCTGTGAAGAAAGGAGTTGCGCAGATGGAGTAGAGGAGAGAGAAGGAGCGGAGGGTGGATCAGTGTCCATTGATGGTTTGGTCTCTGCAATATATTCAGAGATTGCTTCAAGTGTTTCAGAATTCAGAGACGTCGTATGGGAGACAATATTGGAAATGGTAGGGGGAGGATGAGTAAAGATTGGAACTGTAATGGACTGTACCAAGGTAGGGGAGGGCGAAAGGGTGGAGGGAACTGGAGAAGCGTGGAAGGGGACAGAAGAGGCAGAAACCTGGGAGGTGGCAGAAGAGGAAGAAACTTGGGAGGGAACAGGGGAGGAAGGTACAGTACAAGGAGGAGGGTGAACCTCTACACTTGTAACAGAGCCAGTGAGAGGGGGAGAACCAGAGACAGAGACAGGGAAGGGAAAATGAGGAGGTGGAAGATGGGTAGGAGGTATTAACGGACCTTTTTTTGACTTTTGAGAAGTAGAGGGACGATTGGGAGGAGGTGTCATACGAGATCTCGTCGCTACTGAGGCTTGTGAGAGAGAACATGAAGAAGCAAGATCAGACTGAGACGTTGAAGTAGGGACGTCTGAGCCGAGGACAGCAAAAGAATTAGCTACAGGAGTGACTATGGGAGAGGTAACCACAGAGGTGGGTGCAGAAGATGGGATACCAGAAGTGGGGGGACGTTTTGAAACACTGGAATAAGAAACACGAGGTAGTCTCCCTTGGAGGCGGAGATGAGAAACTGCCATGGCATAAGGGAGACCTTCTGCCTCTTTGAGGTAATGGATTTCCCGCTCGTTTAAGTAGACTTGACAACGGCGAGAGTACGAAGGGTGAGCCTCATGACAATTAAGGCAAGAGGGAGGTCGATTGCAAGACATATTAGAATGGTCATCGGCACCACAAACTGGGCATTTGGCGATAGATCTGCAATATTTCGCTGGATGGCCAAATCGCCAGGAATTTCTACACTGTTGCGGTGTAGGGATCACCTTTCGAACTTGTAACCGATGTCCTGCTACATAAACTGAGGATGGGAGTTCACGGCTGTCAAAAGTTAAACGAGCCACATTGCTAGGGTATCGTCTCCGCCCACGGGCAGGAAGAACGTAAGTGTCTACCTTGAGGATTGGAAGATCTTGGAGTTCCAGCTGTTCAAGAATGTCAGTGCCACATGTCTGGAAATTTTGTTGAACTATGGTATGGGGCAGAATGACAGTACCACTACAAGAATTGAGGGAATGATGCTTTTCAATAGTTACAGGAACAGTATTGATATGGGAAAGACGAGAAAGCTCATGAGCCTGGGTAGCATTCTGTACGGTGACGATGCGCGTACCGCTCTTAAGAGCATGAAAAGAAATATCTTTACCAACATGGCATAGGAGTGCCTTGCCAATACTGTGGTCAGAAAGATAGGCAGTAGAGGAAGTCGGTCGTAAAGTGAAGAATTTAGTCCATTGTGCAGTCTGAAACTGAGCGTGGAAAGGTAGTGAAGGATGTGTCGATCTTTTCTGAGAAGAACGAGAAGGTGGAGAAGTATCATCAGCAGGTAATTGTCGTTGTCGTTTAGGCGTGGGACCAGAGTTGGTCCGACGTGGAACAGGCCGGCGATTCGAAAATTGCCGCACCGTAGAGGGAGAGGCCGGAAGCATAGTCAGAGGAGAACGAAGGTCAGATAAATCGAAGGAGTCAGTCGAGGCCTCAGTACCTGAAGCGGGTGAGGAAACAGCACCGGCAAGAGGTACAGAGGCATGAGGAGTGTCCGAAGAGTGGTCCAAAGACGAGGCGGGGTCAGAACGGGGTGCGGTATCAAGAAGGGGCCTGGGGGTAGCAGGTTCATGGACTAGGGCTGCCATGGTTAGGTTACTTCTTTCTTTTTGTTTTTAAGAAAAAAAAAGAAAGAAGAAAAGAAAATAAAAATAAAAAAAAGAATAAAAAAAGGGGGGACCGGGGAGGGATAGTCCCTAGGAGGAATGAAAGGGCCAAAAATCTCCCTCCGCGCCCAAGAGGACCTCAGCACCGCAAGTAGCGCAGATGCAGCATGGAACCCGTGCTATACCCTACCCATCATGCCAGTAAACCGGCAATCCGGGATAGCAACCTCACATCTGCCAAGCTACCTCGGTGGACAAAAGAGAGGGAGGCCGGAAATCCGCCACAAAGCATACCTCCTTCGGCCACCACCCCCGGAATCCGAAAGGTGGCTTCCAGAGATACACCCAAAGCCACCCTCCGGGATACCGGAGAGGGATCAGGGCATCCTCAGGCAATCCAGATTCCACGGCAAACTACGCCACCGCCAAGAACCTCAACGGAATGGGATGGACCCCGGTACCCTTTCCCCTACCTAGGAACTAGCGTGCCTGTGGGAAAAAAAAAAAAAAAAAAAAAAAAGGCCAAAAAGGAAGGGCAAAAGGGAGGGGTGGGGAGGAGGAGGAGGAAAGGAAAAAGGGGAGGATGGGATAGGGAACGGGGGATTGGGGGGTAATTAGGTTTGGTCTGAGGAAGTAGACCGACAGGTCTAATTCCTCAGACCAAGAGCCTCTTCACCACGCCAAGGAGCCCCCCTTGAAGAGGATTGTTTTCTAAAATATAATACACTACCAACATTTTAATGTCAATAGTGTATTTCATAGTGATATGACATATGTAGAATAATGAAAACGGATCACATACAGAACTGTATAAATAGGTAATATTAAAACTAATTTAATAAGTTTCTGTCTTAAATTTATAAGAATAGATTCAATTGATTATGCAACTGAGTGTATTATACAATGATTTAAACAATACAATATTTCATAGTGAATAAATTAATGCTGTTCTCTTTTAAACTTACAGGACTTATTATTGTCACATGCACTGAAATGGGGTAAGGGCTAAACCCAAAGGGTCATACAGCACCTAGAGGAATGGGAGGCAATCAGGTTTGATCCAGGAAAAGGGAAGGTAGGTCAAATTCCTCAGATCATGGGGCCCCTCACTGGAATTTATGTACCTCCCTTGAGGAGCAAGAAAAGGTAACAGATAAATTAAATTAGAAATGGCTTCAGAAGTTCTCTACCCAGCTTTCTCTTAACTATGAATGAAGTCTTGCAGCAACAATTCACATCAGACTTGGAGCACAGGACGAGCCTTTTTGCTCATAAGCTGATCATTTGCACTGGCAAAACCAGTACCTCCCTGTTAAAAAAATAAAAAGTAATCTATAGATTTCACAAATGTTCATAAGGTACATAAAATGTGCAAATATTTTAAAAATACATATATAGAAAATAGTTATGAAATAATGAATTCCAAAGGCAATGGCTTTAGCATCACAAATTTAATATCACTGATGTTATGTACTTAACTATCAAAAGCTTCTCATAATCTGAAATTTTCCCTCAACTGTGAAATGCAATCACATACCCTCTGTAGTGGGATGATGTCTTTATCATTTAGTTTGACTCCAGTAAGTGGATGTATCATGTCCTTCTTTATCAATGTTTCTGCGCACTCCTTTGTTACTACATCACCTCTGTAAACCATAACAAATAGTTAAATAAAAATACTATAGTTCCCATTAAACTGCAACTGTACATATATAGTGAAAAAATATAATCTTATGAAGAACTGAGAAGGGTATTTTAAAAAATTACATAGCATACTTAATCATACGCCACTCTCAACTGAGAGCCACACTAATTTGGATACTAAATATAGAGGTAAGTGGCAGCTTTGCCCTTCCTCCTCCTCCACCTAACCTCCCACACACTTTGTCTCATTACCTCTGTACACTTTCCCTCAGTATTACCATTGCCCTCCATACACCTTACTTCACTACAATTACAGATCACAATCCACTACTACCACCACCCTCCAAATGTGAGTGGGTAATGTTAACTACTGTAACAGCAGCTATGACTTACATACAATGATTCACCTCCCTCAGCTTTCAGATACATATGCAATTTTTTACACCACTGCACTGTTTATTGTATAAAGAATAAATACTAGCACAAGCAGCTATACCAGCCACCCACCCACCTCAGTCTCTCTCAAGATGGAGAGTGCTCAACATTCTAGTCACTTGTGATTTTTCAACCATTAAATCTTGGTCCAAATTCTTTCTTATTGGCTGTGTTACTAATCTGTCTTCTGTTACACTTTCCCAGCATCAGCTTGAACTTCTTGGTTTTGGTCTTTCCTTTGCCACTTACCTACCCCTTTGTGCTGGTGCCAACTTCATTAGCTTCCCCCTTGATTCCTTACACTAGTCTCACCCTCAAAATTTTCCAGACCTGTCCACTTTTTGTGGCAATCTCATTCCTGCCCTTGATATCCTGTTGTCTAAGAATTACCACCTTCATTGCTATCAGCCTGCCCTTTCTTAAGTTTTTTTTTTCAACACACTGGCAGTCTCCCACAAAGGCAGGGTGACCCAACAAAGAAAAACACATATATTGTCATCCTTCCTCCTGACAAAAGCAATTCAGTAGTTGTCCTTGAATGTGAGGACTACCTTGGAAAATCTGAACCCTTGCTCTTTGACACACATCTACACTCCTCGTGTCTCCAACCCTCTTCATCACATCATGAGAACTTTCAACCATAAACTTTGGACTCTCTCCCATCTCTGTCCTCCTGACTTAGGTCTTGTTCAACATTTCCAGGTTATCTGTCTCCCCTCTACCTTATTTATATGGTCTTCCCAAAACTCATAAACCTTTACATCCCATCATTTTCTCCAGAGGTTCTGTCTCTTTATTTTTGTGCCTCTTGGCTGGCCAAAACTCTTACCCCCTCTTCTTGGAACTTTTTCTCCTGCTCACCTCCATCACTCTCAAGATGTCATTAGATGTGTTTGGCCACATTCAACCTTTAAGGGGGCAGACGAGCAAAATTGTCCTTTTTTTTTTTTGGTCCAATTTCATTGGAATTTTTGCTGCAAATTAAGCAGCATTTGAAACCTAGACACTGTGTTTTTAGTGACCTTTTTTCCTTACAGTTAATAAAAAAAAATAGTGCCCTATTCTACAGGGCTTAAATCTATCCTTCTACTACAAAACTGGTAAGACTTACAATTATCTAGTCAACATCAGATGAAAGATAACGAGTTAGGTAATTTAGTTACACGGACATTTAAGCGAAATGTCAATAGATTGCATTATACAAAATGCTGAAATATTTTTTTTTTTTTAAGAACTTTTTTGGGAGAAAAATTCAATAAAAACAAAACGGTAAAACATATTGCAAACCTTCTATGTAATTCAATAGAACCATCATTCCTCAATAACGTGTTAAAAAATCATGATACTCCTATAAATACTCTTCGAATGAGAGAGTAAATGAGGCTAACAACATATTCCTGACTTATCCCTAATTATGTTTTATGTAAAACTCTACGGTTATGGCCCGCCAAATCTGAGCGTGTTGCACCCCTCTGTCCTTGTTGACAGCCTGCAGACTACTGAAGGACAATCTCACTGCTCTCTTAACATAAGAACATAAGAAAGGAGGAACACTGCAGGAGGCCTGCTGGCCCATACTAGGCAGGTCCTTTACAATTCATCCCACTAACAAAACATTTGCCCAACCCAATTTTCAATGCCACCCAAGAAATAAGCTCTGATGTGAAAGTCCCACTCAAATCCAACCCCTCCCACTCATGTACTTATCCAACCTAGATTTGAAACTACCCAAAGTCCCAGCCTCAATAACCCAACTAGGTAGACTGTTCCACTCATCAACTACCCTATTTCCAAACCAATACTTTCCTATGTCCTTTCTAAATCTAAACTTATCTAATTTAAATCCATTACTGCGGGTTCTCTCTTGGAGAGACATCCTCAAGACCTTATTAATATCCCCTTTATTAATACCTATCTTCCACTTATACACTTCGATCAGGTCTCCCCTCATTCTTCGTCTAACAAGTGAATGTAACTTAAGAGTCTTCAATCTTTCTTCATAAGGAAGATTTCTAATGCTATGTATTAATTTAGTCATCCTACGCTGAATGTTTTCTAACGAATTTATGTCCATTTTGTAATACAGAGACCAGAACTGAGCTGCATAATCTAGGTGAGGCCTTACTAATGACGTATAAAGCTGCAGTATGACCTCTGGACTTCTGTTGCTTACACTTCTTGATATAAATCCCAGTAATCTATTTGCCTTATTACGTACGCTTAGGCATTGCTGTCTTGGTTTAAGGTTGCTGCTCACCATAACCCCCAAGTCCTTTTTGCAATCTGTATGGCTAAGTTCTACATCATTTAACTTATAAGTACTAGGGTTATGGGCACTCCCAAGCTTCAGAACCTTGCATTTATCTACATTGAACTGCATCTGCCACTTTTCTGACCAAGAATAGAGTTTGTTTAAATCCTCCTGAAGTTCCATAACATCTACATTTGAATCAATTATCCTACCTATCTTTGTGTCATCGGCGAATTTGCTCATATCACTAGTAATTCCCTCATCAAGATCATTGATATATATTATAAACAACAACGGGCCCAAGACTGATCCCTGTGGAACGCCACTTGTTACAGATCCCCACTCGGATTTAACCCCTGTCAGTGAGCCATGACTCGATCCACGAGAGCACTTATTCCCCAATGCCATGAGCTGCCACTTTCTTTAACAGTCTATGGTGCGGAACTCTATCAAAAGCCTTACTAAAATCTAAGTAAATAATATCAAATTCTTTATTGTGGTCAACAGCCTCAAAAGCTTTACTGAAGAAAGTTAATAAATTAGTTAGACAAGACCGGCCTCTTGTGAATCCATGCTGAGTATCATTAATCAAGCTATGCTTATCGAGATGGCTTCTTATAATCTCAGCTATAATTGACTAGTAATTTGCCTACAATTGAGGTCAGGCTTATTGGGCGGTAAAAGGCTTATTGGGCGGTAATCAGGCTTATTGGGCGGTAACCTCTTCACTTTAGTCCTCACAGAAGTTGCCATGTAGAGTATTTAGAATGAAACAATCATAAAAATCATAATTTTTGGAGTAAAAAAATTATCCACTAATTGCCAACATGTCCTCTTGCTGATAGCAAGAAGACATGTTGGCAACTTTTCTTCACTAAAAGCCAGGACATTCAGCTTCTATTCATCCATAACATTCAAAATCACCTCCTCCTTATTATCTGCACTACAGCAATGCACATTCAAACATCTCAATTAAAAGTTTTCCTTCTTACTCTTAGTAATTTATACAAGAAATGGGGTTACTGGCCCACTACTCCCAGAATCTTAGTGGGCATTTACAACATGCATGACTTATGGAGGAAGGACTTTTATTCCACTTTCCCATGGAGATGAAAATAAATAAGAACAAGAAACTATTAAGAAAATAGAAAAAACTCAAATGGGTGCATATACATATACATGTACATGCATGTGTAGTGTGACCTAAGTGTAAGTAATAGCAGCAAGATTTACCTGTTATTCTGAGTGCTTATTTGACAGAAAAAGACACCAGCAATCCTATCATTGTGTAAAACAATTACAGGTTTCTGTTTCACACTTATTTGGTAAGACAGCAGTACCTCCCTGGGTGGTTGCTGTATACCAACCTACTACCACAGTACATAAAATCTTTTATTCACTATGCAGAGACAGTAATAACAAATGACTTACGTTGGTCTGAGCACTACACAGGGCACATTATTTCTTAAGATGTCCCCTGTAACTGGGCATTTGTACCTCTCCCTCTTGCCATCTAATGAGCCCTTTTCATCAGGATCCACAGCTAAGGTAAATTTGACATCAATAAGATCCTTAGCTCTCAGAGGTTTCCCACTTATTGGACAATAAATAGTCTTCTCCTGTAAACAGTGAAAAAAATACTATATAAAAAATGCATATTTCATATACATTTATTTATTTATTTATTTATTTTATGTCTTTACAAACAGTACACTGAGGGTGTACTTACGTTAAAAAACATCTGTTCATGACGAACATCAAAATAGTATACAATACCATCAGGTTGTTAAGTAAGATACATATGCAACAGTTAGGCAACTTTATTCCGAAACGTTTCACCTACACAGTAGGCTTTTTCAGTCGAATACAGAAAGTAGGCAGGAACAGATGTGAAGACTATGTAATCAGTCCATCACCCTTGAAGTCGTAGAATTTGAGGTTGTCAGTCCCTCAGCCTGGAGAAGTTCAGTTTCAATGTCAGGAACTATCTGAAGATCAAGCGACAGTGCAGAGACTTAAATACTGTCGGAAGGAGAGGTGCAGAGTAATAGTAGTGAGAATGTAGCCACTGAGAGGTCATGTCCCTCTCAGATCCAACAATTCTCACTTGAAAAGGTTGTCCAAGGTGTTTTCTGTACAACCTTTTCAAGTGAGAATTGTTGGATCTGAGAGGGACATGACCTCTCAGTGGCTACATTCTCACTACTACTACTCTGTACCTCTCCTTCCGACAGTATTTAAGTCTCTGCACTGTCGCTTGATCTTCAGATAGTTCCTGACATTGAAACTGAACTTCTCCAGGCTGAGGGACTGACAACCTCAAATTCTACGACTTCAAGGGTGATGGACTGATTACATCGTCTTCACATCTGTTCCTGCCTACTTTCTGTATTCGACTGAAGAAGCCTACTGTGTAGGCGAAACGTTTCGGAATAAAGTTGCCTAACTGTTGCATATGTGTCTTACTTAACAATCTGTTCATGACATATGACTTAAACTCAACGTAATTGTAGGTTGTAATAAAGTTGGTAGGATTACCGACAATATGTAAAGTAAAAGGACACAAGTGCAACTAATGTGGCATTTTATTGTGGCAACATTTCGCTCTCCAGGAGCTTTGTCAAGCCGTTACAAACAGTACATGGACACAGAGGGTATATATAGGCTCAGAGTGAGGTGCAATACTAGTGGTAGTAGTAGTGATAGAAGTAGTAGTACTAGTAGTAGTAGTAATACAATATGTTAGAACAATTAACTTTCACATGAGTAGAGAATATAAAAGCTATTACTTGGGAAACATAAAAATTGGTTAGACAAATATTTCTATTGGAGGCTGGATAGAGAAGGCCTGTTTCAATGTTCATTCTCTGTAATGTGCTTGTGTAGTATTAACAGGAGAGACTATGTGATGGCAGGGTTTACTGTTTTCAGGAGGATTCTTGCTAAGACTTCAGAGATAGTGAAGCTGCCTTTGTTTTGTTTAATTGTATTAGAAACAGCTATTAGTGAAGATTCAAGGCGCTTGCATCTGCGGAACAGACGCAAGCGCAAGTTGGGTGTCCCTGGACTTCGTGAGATGATTAGTGGAATTTCGGTGTTGTACACAGGCGTTGTTCAAGTTATCATTCCTACATGCGTAAATGTGTTCATTGAGGCGGGTGTCAAGGTTTCTTGATGTTTCACCTACATAAATCTTGTCGCAGCCTCCACAGGGTATAGTGTAAACCCCTGTGTTGACTGGTTTGTGGTGCTTGGATTTTGTTCTGACCTTAATCTTCCTCTACTTCCCGGAGATTTTGTTGACTTGATTGAACTCTGTGTTAATTTCAATTGTTTTTCTTTCAATAACAGGCTCTACAAACAAACCTACGGCATGAGAATGGGGTCCCCCATCGGTGCCGTCCTAGCCAACTTGTACATGGAACACCTAGAGTCTGAACACTTTGCCAACATCATCCCTTCAAGCATCACTTGGTTACGTTACGTGGACAATGTCCTCGTAATAACTCCCAAACGTTTTGATGTACAGAATCTACAGGCAAGGCTCAACGCAGATGAACTGGCGATCCAGTTTACACTAGAAGAAGAGTCCAATGACAAGCTACCTTTCCTCGACGTCCTCATTCACAGTGTAGACAACAGCCTAAGATTTCATGTTTATCAGAAACCTACCAATAAAAATGATCTCACACACTTCTATTCCAGTCAAGATACTAAGACCAAAAGAGGCATCATCATCAGGTTTTTCCTAAGAGCATACCGAATTTGTAGTCCTGAGTTTCTTGACAAGGAATGTACATACATTCACCGAACCTTCACAGATTTACATTTTCCTTCCTTTTTCATCAAAGACTGCAAGAAAAGAGCTCTTCAGATCATTAATTCTCCATGCACAAACATCACTCCCAACAAAGTTATAATTCTTCCCAACAGCCAGGTTGCACTGAACGTTTCTAAAGTACTTTCACAAGCTAACACCAGAGTCGCCATCGCTTCCAGCACTTCGATAAAGGATCTAACCAAACAAAATCCAAGCACCAAGAACCAGTCAACGCAGGGGTTTACACTATACCCTGTGGAGGCTGCAACAAGATTTATGTAGGTGAAACAGCAACAACCTCGACACCCGCCTCAATGAACACATTTACGCATGTAAGAACAATAACTTGAACAATGCCTGTGTACAACACCGAAATTCCACTAATCATCTCATGAAGTTCAGGGACGCCCAACTAGTGATCAAAGAAACTAATTTCTGCAGACGCAAGTGCCTTGAATCTTCACTAATAGCTGTTTCTAATACAATTAAACAAAACAAAGGCAGCTTCACCATCTCTGAAGTCTTAGAAAGAATCCTCCTGAAAACAGTAAACCCTGCCATCATATAGTCTCTCCTGTTAATACTACACAAGCACATTACAGAGAATGAACATCGAAACAGGCCTTCTCTATCCAGCCTCCGATAGAAATATTTGTCTAACCAATTTTTATGTTTCCCAAGTAATAGTTTTTATATCCTTTACTCATGTGCAAGTTAATTGTTCTAACATATTGTATTACTACTACTACTATTACTTCTTATATCACTACTATTACTACTACTACCACTAGTATTGCACCTCACTCTGAGCCTATATATACCCTCTGTTTCCATGTACTGTTTGTAACAGCTTGACAAAGCTCCTGGAGAGCGAAACGTTGCCACAATAAAATGTCACATTAGTTGCACTTGTGTCCTTTTACTTTATGTAATTGTAGATGTCCCTAAATCGCTGCTTTCTAGAATGCTGGAAGATTTACTAAGACTTTTGTCAATCACCAGCAAGTAATGACATTTATTTATTTATTTATTTGAACATGATACACAGAAGTACAAAGAAATACAGTGGTTAAGTGTAACATGCCAAAGCCCCTTGTATGCAGAGCATTATGGGCAGGCTTAAAATTAACTTAAGATTAATTAGGCAATGATATATTCAGTGGTAAACATTATTGTAAACAGATAACAATTAACCACAAATGAGAATTTCAAAGTCAGGTCATATGGCCATTTACTGTGTTGCTGTGCATTCAGTAGAATGGAGTATTCTGTTAAGTAATGTAATTAAAAATAACAAAGTTTGATTGGGTCACAGGTTAAACATTTATGAGATACAATTATTCAGTATTTATTTAGTTGTGGGTGAGTAAGTGATTTTTAAGAAGAGACTTGAATTTATAAACAGACAGTGTTTCTTTTATATTCATAGGTAATGAATTCCAGATTTTTGGGCCTTTTATGTGCATTGAGTTTTTGCATAGTGTGAGATGGACACGAGGAACATCAAAGAGTGATCTGTGACTTGTGTTATGGTCATGTGTTCTGTTGAGGTTGGTAAGGAGACATTTGAGGGGAGGGTTTATATCCAAGTTATATCCCACCATCCCCAATTTATACATTCTCCTAGTCATCCTAGGAAACTAAGAGGAAAGACTAAAGTTTAATGATACTTTTAACATATACAGTGGAACCTCGGTTTTCTTTTGCCCTGGTTTTTGTTGAATTCGGTTTTCGACAACTTTTTTCATCAAAATTTTGTCCCAGTTTTCGCTCATCAACTCAGTTTTTGTCGAACTGACAGTGGTCCGCCGTATGGAACATGTCCATCCGCACCCACACAAAGCATCCCATGCATTCTGAGTCAGTCTGACTGTTTCTCATCTGTAGAGGGTGATAGTGATGGTGGTAGAGGGTGGTAGTGGCTGTGATGGTGGTGGAGGGTGGTGGTGATTGTGGTAGAGGGTGGTAGGTGATAGTGATGGTGGTAGAGAGTGGTACTGATGGCAGTAGAGGGTGGTAGTGGTTGTGATGGTGGTAGAGGGTGGTAGTGGTTGTGATGGTGGTAGAGGGTGGTAGTGGTTGTGATGGTGGTAGAGGGTGGTAGTGGTTGTGATAGTGATAGAGGGTGGTAGCGATTATGGTAGAAGGTGGTAGTGATTATGGTAGAGGGTGGTAGAGATAACCTCTCCTCCCTCTACCCTGGAAATAAATGGTATAAAATACCGACACAATGGAAATATAAACACAAATGCAGTATAATGTGATCCTTTATTGACAACGTTTCACCCACACAGTGGGCTTTTTCAAGTCACACACGGATCTGTGTGTGACTTGAAAAAGCCCACTGTGTGCGTGAAACGTTGTCAATAAAGGATCACATTATACTGCATTTGTGTTTATATTTCCCTCTACCCTCCTTGCTGTCTTCCATATGCCAACAAGAGTTTTCAATAAAGGTAAAAATGATGTTAAATGTTCATTTATCCATTTCATTAGTCCTTTATATTTATTTCTCATTGTGTTCTGTATGTAAAACTATAGTTATTCTCTATAAAATGTAATTTTTGTTAATACTTTTGGGTATCTGGAACAGAGTAATTGGATTTACATTATTTCTTAAGGGAAATATTGCTTCAGTTTTCGCTGAATTCGGTTTTCGTCAGACTTTCTGGAACGAATTAATGACGAAAACTGTGGTTCCACTGTAGATACATATAATTTGCCCACTGATTACTACTAATTTTGGTTTACTAGCAGCATTTAAAGTTTTGAAAGTATATCCTTGAAGATCTAATAATTTGTTCTTGCCACTAGCTTAGTAATCTCACAAAATTTCTTCACAATGTATCCAACTAATGAAGTAATATCTGACCTTATAAGAAAGGGGTGCAAAACAGCAGGATGCCCTGGCACCATTATGTTTCAAATAAAACTGCTCCAATTGTTTTCATTAAATTATCATAGTAAAATAAAAATAGTGTTTTATCAAGACTGGCTGAGAATCGAAACTTAGTCATATTAGAAGATCCATCATTAAAATGAATAGGACTAAGAAACACCTTTACTCCTATACATTAATAGCAAATGTAAGGCAAACCATTTCAAATTCTACTCTTTGTACTTACTGGCTTTTGGAGCTTAGACTCCTTATTTCCTGGGGTGAGTGAAGGAATCCAAAAACTAGGCAGCTTCTTGTCTCGCCCAGCAACCATATTGGATACTGAAGATCCACCACTTCCTGAACTGGTGCCTGGACCTGACAATAAAAATTACAGTGCAATATATTAATTTGGGATGCTTTACTCCAATGACCCTTCAAGGTTGCTACAGAGATGGTAAAGGGCTCTTAATCCTGAGAATAACAGCTAGCCCTCCCTTTCCACATATCTAACCTCATTAACTCCCACTTCCTAGGCATATGATACCTATGGGTTTAGCACTTACCTATGAATATTATACTATAATAATAATAATAATAATAATAATAATTTAGTTGTAGCTACAGTTAGAGTAAGAGGTAGATGGGACAAGCGGAAGGTGGCAACAACAAGTAAGAGGGAGGTGAAAGTGTATAAACTAAGGGAGGAGGAAGTTTGGGTGAGATATAAGCAACTATTGGCAGAAAGGTGGGCTAGTGCAAAGATGAGTAGTGGGGGGGGTTGAAGAGGGTTGAAATAGTTTTAAAAATGCAGTATTAGAATGTGGGGCAGAAGTCTGTGGTTATAGGAGGGTGGGGGCAGGAGGAAAGAGGAGTGATTGGTGGAATGATGAAGTAAAGGGTGTGATAAAAGAGAAAAAGTTAGCTTATGAGAGGTTTTTACAAAGCAGAAGTGTTATAAGAAGAGCAGAGTATATGGAGAGTAAAAGAAAGGTGAAGAGAGTGGTGAGAGAGTGCAAAAGGAGAGCAGATGATAGAGTGGGAGAGGCAGTCAAGAAATTTTAATGAAAATAAGAAAAAATTTTGGAGTTAAACAAGTTAAGAAAGCCTAGGGAATGTATGGATTTGTCAGTTAAAAACAGAGTAGGGAAGTTAGTAGATGGGGAGATGGAGGTATTAGGCAGATGGCGAGAATATTTTGATGAACTTTTAAAATGTTGAGGAAGAAAGGGAGGTGGTAATTTCATGCACTGGCCAGGGAGGTATACCATCTTTTAGGAGTGAAGAAGAGCAGAATGTAAGTGTGGGGGAGGTATGTGAGGCATTATGTAGAATGAAAGGAGGTAAAGCAGCTGGAACTGATGGGATCATGACAGAAATGTTAAAAGCAGCGGGGGATATAGTGGAGTGGTAGGTACTTTTGTTTAATAAATGTTTGAAAGAGGCGAAGGTACCTAGGGATTCGCGGAGAGCATGTATAGTCCCTTTATATAAAGGGAAGGGGGACAAAAGAGATTGTAAAAATTATAGAGGAATAGTTTACTGAGTATACCAGGAAAAGTGTATGGTAGGGTTATAATTGAAAGAATTAGAGATAAGACAGAATGTAGGATTGCAGATGAGCAAGGAGGTTTCAGAGTGGGTAGGGGATGTGTAGATCAAGTGTTTACATTGAATCATATATGTGAATAGTATTTAGATAAAGGTAAGGAAGTTTTTATTGCATTTATGGATTTAGAAAAGGCATATGATAGAGTGGATAGGGGAGCAATGTGGCAGATGTTGCAAGTATATGGAATAGGTGGTAAGTTATTAAATGCTGTAAAGAGATTTTATGAGGCTAGTGAGGCTCAGATTAGGGTGTGTAGAAGAGAGGGAGACTACTTCCCAGTAAGAATAGGTCTTAGACAGGGATGTGTAATGTCACCATGGTTGTTTAATATATTTATAGATGGGGTTGTAAAAGAAGTAAATGCTAGGGTGTTTGGGAGAGGGGTGGGATTAAATTATGGGGAATCAAATACAAAATGGAAATTGACACAGTTACTTTTTGCTGATGATACTGTGCTTATGGGAGATTCTAAAGAAAAATTGCAAAGATTAGTGGATGAGTTTGGGAGTGTGTGTAAAAGTTGAAAGTTGAAAGTGAACATGAAAAGAGTAAGGTGATGAGGGTATCACATGATTTAGATAAAGAAAAATTGGATATCAAATTGGGGAGGAGGAGTATGGAAGAAGTGAATGTTTTCAGACACTTGGGAGTTGACGTGTCGGCGGATGGATTTATGAAGGATGAGGTTAATCATAGAATTGATGAGGGAAAAAAGGTGAGTGGTGCGTTGAGGTATATGTGGAGTCAAAAAACGTTATCTACGGAGGCAAAGAAGGGAATGTATGAAAATATAGTAGTACCAACACTCTTATATGGGTGTGAAGCTTGGTTTGTGAATGCAGCAGCAAGGAGACAGTTGGAGGCAGTGGAGATGTCCTGTCTAAGGGCAATGTGTGGTGTAAATATTATGCAGAAAATTCGGAGTGTGGAAATTAGGAGAAGGTGTGGAGTTAATAAAAGTATTAGTCAAAGGGCTGAAGAGGAGTTGTTGAGGTGGTTTGGTCATTTAGAGAGAATGGATCAAAGCAGAATGACATGGAGAGCATTTGAATCTGTAGGAGAAGGAAGACGGGGTAGGGGTCGTCCTCGAAAAGGTTGGAAGGAAGGGGTAAGGGAGGTTTTATGGGCGAGGGGCTTGGACTTCCAGCAGGCGTGCATGAGCATGTTCGATAGGAGTGAATGGAGATGAATGGTATTTGGGACCTGACGATCTGTTGGAGTGTGAGCAGGTTAATATTTAGTGAAGGGATTCAGGGAAACCGGTTATTTTTATATAGCCGGACTTGAGTCCTGGAAATGGGAAGTACAATGCCTGCACTCTAAAGGAGGGGTTTCGGGATATTAGCAGTTTGGAGGGATATGTTGTGTATCTTTATACGTATATGCTTCTAAACTGTTGTGTTCTGAGCACCTCTGCAAAAACAGTGATTATGTGTGAGTGAGGTGAAAGTGTTGAATGATGACGAAAGTATTTTCTTTTTGGGTCACCCTGCCTCAGTGGGAGACGGCCGACTTGTTAACCCGTAAACGGTCCAAACGTATATATACGTTCACTACCGTACTGCCCCAACTTTTTTGAGAAAAAAAAGCATTGTTGTTTTTTAATAGGAAAAAAGAGCATATGGTACCCAGGCATCCCCAATTATTTTAATATGGTGCACAGTGAGTGCTCACACCCATTCTCACATGTCTAGGCGACTCAGGCTTATCGTGGCAATGTTAAATGTAGGACACATAAAACGTATATATACGTTTGGGGCACTAGTGGTAAAAACATATATATACGTTTGGACCGTTTACGGGTTAAAAACAAAAAAAAAAAATAATAATAATCATCTCTCAAATGGAAGTGCGAAGTATGATTTTGTTTAAGCTATAAGCTGAGAATGGATGAAACTCTAAACATACATTAGGCATTCATCTCTTATTTTTTTTTTTTACATGTCAGCCGTTTCTCACCGAGGCAGGGTGACCCAAAAGGAAAGAAAACCCCAAAAAGAAAAAAAAACTTTCATCATCATTCAACACTTTCACCATCATTCATACATATTAATCACTGTTTTTGAAGAGGCACTCAGATGACAGTTTAGGTGTCCCTCCAAACAGCCAATATCCCAAACCCCTCCCTCCCTCCCTCCCTCTATATATACGTAGTACTGTATTCTCAGTAATTTTAGGACATTTAACCCTTTGAGGGTTTTCGTCGTACTAGTACGTCTTACGCGTAGGGGTTTTTGACGTACTAGTACTCATAAATTCTAGCGGCCTCAAATCTAGTGGGAGAAAGCTGGTAGGCCTTCATATGAAAGAATGGGTCTATGTGGTCAGTGTGCACAGTCTAAAAAAAATCCTGCAGCACACAGTGCATAATGAGAAAAAAAAACTTTTACCATTTTTTTTTAATAAATCAGCGACTTTGCAGTGTATTTTCGTGATGGTATTTATTGTTGTATTCTAGTTTTCTTGGTCTCATTTTATAGAATGGAAGACATATTACAGAAATTGAGATGATTTTGACTGGTTTTACAAAGAAAGGTGCCTTGAAATTGAGCTCAAAGTAGCAGAAATGTTCGATTTTTACCAAACTTCAAAAGTAAACAAATCGTGCCAAGCGTGCAATACACGTCAACTGGTGAGTCTAATATTCTTTCACAAGTGCACCAATAATATTTATACCATTTTTTACACTAATGCAGTAGTCTGCATAACAGTAAATCTTATATTTTTTGTGAAAATAAAAATTCAAAGTGGAAAGCAAAAGAATATAAGAGGGGCCTTGAGACATGACTAATGACTAGAGGAAATGTCATTTTAGTGCCAGGAATGTCTTTCTTGTTTATTCTGGACCCTATTCGGAAATTGGCATCTTTTGAAATTTGTGTGAAATTGGCAAAATTGCTAAATTCTGACCACTGTACTGGATAGTTGAATTTCATAAATGAGTGGTTTCTTGCACCCATTCGATAGAAAAAAATTGGAGTTCTAGCGAAATATTCATGTTTTTTGTCGACTAGTACAGTGAAATTGGCCGAAAATGGGGCTCAAAGTAGGCAAAATCGCCGATGCGTAAACATCGCCGAGACCGCTAACTTTGTGAGAGCATAATTCCGTAAGTTTTCTATCAAATTTCAAACTTTTGGTGTCTTTATGATCGGGAAAAGATTCTCTATCTTTTCATAAGAGAAAATAATTTTTTTTTTTTTTTAAATTTGGCCGACCCTGAGAACGAGTTTCGGAGAGGGCCTGTCGACCCTCAAAGGGTTAATGCTCACAACCTTGCTTGTGAAGATCAGTGATTCATTATCTTAGTCTCTAGAACCATCATGTATTCTACAGAGAACTAGAAAAAGAAGAAGTACTCTGGATGTCCTCCCCTACAACATCAGAAATCCATAATAAAACAGTAATCCTGACAACAGTCAACTTCCAGACTTGTGTGATTAGCTCTACAGGTCCATGAAAATGTTAGTAAAATATACTAAGAATCACACAAATTTAAGAGACCACCAGCAACACCTGTCGTGTAAACACTATGAGCACAAATGGCATTGTGTGTATACAATGACATCTGCAGCTGCCCTTGAAATTTTGTCCAGAGTAAAACAGGTGCCAGACCATCCAATGCCAGAAAAACGATGTTGTACTTGTGTTACTGTTTAATGAAATACTGTACAGTGGACCCCCGCTTAACGATCACCTCCAAATGCGACCAATTATGTAAGTGTATTTATGTAAGTGCGTTTGTACGTGTATGTTTGGGGGTCTG